GCCTGTACTCCAGTTCTGTATGCATAAATAAATACATCTTAAAAAAAAAAAACAAAACCATCAGACACTCCTCTCCTCAAAAATGTTCTTATTTCTACTCACATAGAAAATGTTTGAAGAACAGTGTCTGCTTTCCACAAGTCCCAGTAACTCCTAAATTCTCTGCCCCCTTGCTCATGTGTCCTGCCTGCTGTTAAGTCTTTCCTCAGTCACCAATGACTTTTTTCCTTTAAATTCCCTATTAAATTATACCACACTCAGAGCTTTAAAAAATTAAATAACATAAAGCTCCTAATTCCATTCCTCCTCACTTTCCCCTACCCTCCACTCCTCAGAGGAATGCTTCAGGCAGCCTCTTCCCATAGCTCCTGTTGCTTTGGCTTCTTTTGGTAGTTTCTTCCACCTGTCTTAGAAATATTGCCTATATCTCTTGGTCTGCCTCTTTCTTGATTTTTCCATTGTAGGCCACAGCCACTGACTTCCTGCTACGACAGAAGTGACTGACACCAGTGTTCTCCCCTCCCCGTCCCATATGGTGAAATCATTATTCATAACTCCTTTGTAACAACACCCATTTTTTATGCCTGGTTCCATCCCTTACACACCATCTCCGCCTCCCTACCTCGCAATGGGGACACGGCAGCACCCTCGGCTTACATAGGCATAGAGCGGCCCATTTGTGCTGTGAAGCGGGGTCACCCCTGCCCCTCACCTGTGGGCTGTTTCCACCGTCTGCTCCCAGTCCTGCCGAGCCAAGAACAGCCGCATCTTCAGGACCAAGGCAGGCAGGAAGGTCCCCGAGGCAAGGGTGATCTGGTTTACAACCTCCAGGGCCCCTGTGTAGTTCTGCTGCATCATGAAATACGTTGCCTGCCAAAAGCCCAGAAAAGTGTGTCCACCAGGGCCCCTGAAGGGAGCTGGAGGTGAGTCTCCATCAGGACTGGAGCAGGGCCTGACACATGGGTGCTGTGGGTCCCCTGAGCTGGGCAAGGGTGTCCTGGGAACTCCCTGAGGAAAGAGTCATCACCCAGCGACAAGCCCAGGTCTACAGCAGTCTTGGGTTCCTGGATAGGCAAGGCTGGGGTTCCAGGGACACACCTAAGCCTCAAGCCTGGGAAACCTGGGAGGTCTGGGAGAAAGTAAAGCCATGGAAGGCCTCCTCTTAGAGAGATCTGGGGTCTCTGGGCCCCTGCCAAGTCTACAAGTGGCCCATTCATTTCCCATTCACTTTCCTAAATTTCATCACTGAAAACTGCTCCCCGGGGCCCAGGTCAGCAGCTCTAAGTGAGGGCTCCCCTGAAATTCCCTCCAGAGCAAGGCTGTGCTACTTTTACTCTGTCAAGGCCCACTGGGTAGGAGTCATGGCCTCTGCAGGCCAATGCTGGCCACCGGTTCTCCTGGGACATGACAGTGCCTGAGGGGCAGAAGGCAATGTTCATAAAGTCTCCAAGCTGGATTCTGGATAGATGGCTAATGTGAGACCTCCATTATGAGACAGGCTTCTCATTAAAAGCAAGGGGATTAAGATTTATGCATAAGCATTCACCACAGCCCTCTCTCCAATGGCCAACAGGAAAGCTTCCCAATGGCCAAGCCAGAGGAGAGTGGGCCAGTAAATTACATCAGGCCATGGAAAGGAGGGTGGGCTTTATATAATCTTCAAAATGACAAAATATGGCACGAAGGAAAGAAAACAAATGAGAAGTTGTCCTGCACTTACAACTATGATCGGCACCTCACCCACGGTGTGTGCTATGATCCCTGTCAGGACCGAGAGGTTGGCAGCAGGGACCTGTCAGGGGTGCCTTAGTCTGAGAGGGCTCAGGCAGGAGGGAGCTGCCTCAGCCCAGGTCACAGGGCCCCTTGGGGGCTGCCTGGGCTCAGCATCTCGTCTGAGCACACAGCCCTGGTGAAGGCCACCCCAGCTCCAGCACTGCATTCGAGTTGGCTGAGGCCTTTGCTGTGATTGCTTCACAGCCCAGCTTCCCCCTCTGCCCACTGTCACTTTCCCCATGGGGCTGGTCCCAAGGGCACTCCCTGGTAAGCCTCCTGTAAGACTACTTCTGAGGTGTCTGCTTCCCAGAAAACTAACGCAGACCTAAACCCAAACATAGAAAAAAAGTCAGGAGACATTAAGATGTCAACATGAGTTGCTTGGGACAGGGCTACAAGGGGCATTTTCATTCATCTTTCGACTTTTTCAGACTTGCGTTTTTTAAGAGAGTATGCAGTCACGTTAGAAGGAGGATGTATTATCAATAGAAGCAAATAAAAGGATAGTTTTTCTCTTGCCGATCAATTCAGTGAGCATTACATAAGGACAACAAAATTAATAAGACCAGAAAGTACAAAACAGGAGCCATCCCTTCTTTTCCTTACCTCCAGTGAATGAATTTATACGAGAAGAGGAAAAGCAAGAGAAAGATGCAGAGTAAAGGGGCAGTGAGTGAGTGAGACCAAAAGGCAAAGCAGATAAGCCCGAGTCAAAGGAGGGCAGACCCCGACAGGGCCCCGCACAGGAGTCAGGTGTGTGAGAACTGGAGGTGAGGGGCCTGGAGACTGAGGGTCTGGCCCGAGCTCACCTGCGTGTCTCTGGCTCCAGGAGCCCGTCAGGGACACCCTCCCCCCCCCCCACCATCCCCGCCTACCTTGCCCATCAGCCCCAGTACGTCTTTGCTGTCCTGAATCCCTTGTTCCAGGTACTTGATGGCTTTCTTCACAGTGTGGGGTTTATCTGAGGTGAGGTCTACCCAGCCTCTGAGCACATAGCCCTAGGATGAGAACAAGACCAAAGATGGGGTCCTTGGTCCCACACGGCCTGGGTGCAGCCTGCTCCTCGGTCTGTGTTCCACCCTTTGTCACGCCACACTCCAGACTCTGACAGGCCCAATACCTGCGGGCGGCCCTCCTCTCTTTCTCAATGCCAGGGCTTTGCTCCCACTGTCTCTGCACCTGGAGTGCCTCAACCCTCCACCTGTGTAACTCCCATTAGTCTTCAAAGCTCAGTCTAGGAGGCCCCACTGTGAAGGCTCTCCCAGACCTTCCAGGCCTGGGTCAGCCCCTCTCCCCCATGACCCCACAGCCACAGAGTTCTTACCCTTCCCTATAGCAATACCCTTCCCTTGCCTGTCTGGCCATTGCTGCTTGACGTCACTCTGGGTGTGGCCCGCCCCAATCCCAGGCCCTGTGTTGGGGAACAGCCACTCAGCTGAGGTGCGTTTCACATGGATGCTTTCTGCAGCTATTGCCCCGAGCAGTCAGAGGTAGGTACCTCTCTCACGTGGCTGGGGATCTTCAGCGTACGGTCAATGTATTCCTTGGCCTTGTCATGGCGTCCCATGAGCCAGAGGAAGAGGCCAGCATAGTACAGTGCAGACCCGCTAGCTGTCTTGCGGATTTCCTTCAGGCTGCTCTCAAGCTCCTGAACAGCTTCTTGGTCTGTAAATCCAAGTAAATCTTTATTTCAGGGTGAGGTGCGATCTGCATGGTCCTGCCAGGTGCACTGAGGGCCTAGGGAGCCACCTGTGGATATTCCAAGCCTCTCTCAATACACAGGCGGACTATACCCCAGTCCAGGGCCTGGAAACTAACCACAGTGGCCCAGGGATATCAGGTTGCTGCCCAGGCCTGGACTAAGGTTTTGTGTCTGAGATTTAGCTTGTTTCTTTTGTGCTGAACAGACAGACCAAGCCCAAATCCCCAGCCTCTGGCCACACTACGTTTTGGTGGGGAAGTAGTAGTTTGTAGTTTCTTGGAATCCCTCTCTGAATCTAGAGAGGTAGAGAGGAGGGACAGAATATCTATCAGACTGACTTTTCCCAATTAAGATCTTGGCAAAGGAAAGTGGCAATCGGGAAGTCCCCCTTCCCCAGATGTTCTCACCATGACTCCTACTGACCTGGGCTCACACATGGGGTCTTCACTGAGGCCTAGGGTGGGGTGGGAGGTTAGAGGGAACAGAGGGCATTCTCCATGCATACACCTCCTCAGCAGCCTTAGAGTGGCTGTGTCTGGAGCATGGGCTCTTACCAGCTGGCTAGGCCCCCCTGAGCAGGGCTGTACTCACCGACGGTTTCACAGCACCTATGAGCATAAATGAGCGCCAGGATGGAACACAGGGTCACCTCTGGGTGATTCCGGATATTCTCCAGGTTGCTGATAGCATCCTGGATGTGCTCTACAAAGAAAGCCCAGGTGGTTATGCTTTGGGGCTCCAGGCGTGGAAGGCAGGATGCTTCAAGGCACTACATGGGGCCTTTCTCAGGGGTGTCCCAAGGCTGAACACCGCCTGGCTTTACCCAGAATCAGAGGACTAACAGGCTCAAAGGTCTTGAATGGCTCAAGTTCACTGAAGACTGAAGTTCCCTGAAAGAGCTGCCGGTCCCATAGTCCAGGTTGCGGGGTGGAGGGCATGGAGCTGTTAGCACTTGTAGGGATACCTCTGAGGCTGGAATTTTTGACTGTGGTTCATTTCTGTGGATTCCCCAGCTTGCTGTTTAAGAGGCACCAATTACATTTGCCCCTCTAAGCCCACAAAGACCAACTTCCACCTGGCTGGTTGAATGCCAGCAACTCAGCAACATCAGGGGCCCAAACCCTCTCCATGCTCCTGTACCACTCCTACCTGGACGCACATACAGTTATCTCTCTGCTCTGCCCCCCCCCCGTTTTTTAAAAGATGTATTTATTTATGCATACAGTACTGGGGTACAGGCCAGAGGTGCAGGGGTGGTGAGAGGATTTATCAGAGACAGAGTAGGGAGCAGAACAGGCAGATCGACAAAGTCCGCTGTTGAGGGGAGCAGTGAGCGGGTCAGGAGAGATCTGCCATGCTGTGTGGGTCAGCTCCCTGGCTGGCTGGGGATTAAACCCGTGCTGCAGTGGTTTCAGAAAGCTTCATAATGCGGTGTTTTAACCTGCTGCAGCACCAGGGAGAGTCCTGCTCCCCTTGTTTTAAAGATAAGGAGCAGAAGGCATAGAGCAAAGGGAAAGAGCTTGGTGAGGTCTCAAAGATCAAGCAGACACTAGTTACACAGGTTTCTGTGGATTTACTGGGGAATGTGGCTCCTGCAGGTAACAATGAAGCCGCTGAGTAGAGGCTGGTGGAGCCAGAGACAGCGCCAGCTAGTGGCAGCACGGATGAGTCCCTACCTTCCCTGAGCATCCCATAGGCTTTGAAAAAATGCAGCACAGGGTCATTGCTGAATTTCTCCAGGCCCACAGCTGCAGCCTGCTGGACGTGCCGAAAGTACTTCTCGTGGCTGTAGTAAATGATCCCAGCCTGCATGGAGGAAGACACGGTGTGAGTGACCACAGTCCCTTCTCTGACCCACCCCCACGGCCTCCATTTCCTGATCACCCTCATTTCCGGAAAGGGATGAGAAAGTGAACATGCAGGTTCAATGTGTTGTTTGGTGCTCTACTCTAGTCCAAGATTATTTCTCCAGGAAGGAGTTTGGAGGTGACTCTTTATCTACAGATTCTGGCTCAAATATGCGGGCACTGCAACTCGGGCTTTGTAGTAGAAAGGGAATAAGAGGAAAGAGAGAGGACCGATAAGAAATATTACACCAACAGGGTGACAAGTTACTGTGGGCTCACCACCTCTCAGAACTATGTCAAGGGTTCGGCATCCACTATCTGATGCATCATCCTGTCTGTATGCACAGTCAAGGAAGCTGAACAGCCCATGGGATCTAAGCTTGCCAAAGGTCACCCAGTAGTCGTGGGGGCACAGATTTCAGTGTAGTCTCACTTCCCTTAAGGTTTGTGGGTGTTGGGGTTGGGATTAGATGTAAACAGCCTTGTGGGCCATATGAAAGGGCACAGACGCCATCCGAAGGGTGAAAGGAAGCAGCTGGAATGGTTTCAAGCAGGGGAGGGAGGTGTTCAGATGTGTGTTTGACACAAGCTATGCAACCTCTGTCGTCAGACACGGTACGGATGGAGGGGAATTGCTCTGAAAAATCAGACTTTCCACACTACTTATGTTATGACCTCCCCTTTTTGTATAATCGTAATATCAAAATATTCTGAGCAACTTTCAGCTTACAATTGGATGGCCTCAGCCGCAGAAGGCCTGCCTGCCCTGACAAGCAAGCACTGCACCAGGGTAAGAAATTTCTCTGAAGTCAAGTGACTTGACTACTGGCTGATAAATAAAAGCAAAAGCGTTGTTTTTGCAAAGTCTCTCTCACTGCGGATGGAGGAAAACCCAAATCTTACCATTCTATTATCTCACCTAGCATTCTATTCAGCTTCTAAAGAATTACTCAAACTTCCTATTGTTTGGCCTTTAGACGTGGAAATTCATCCAGGTTGCCTGTTTTGAAACTAGTCAAGTTTACTACCTGCTACACCTTAAAGGAATCCACAAAAGTCTTCTGGCTACATGTGTTTTTGCAAAAACCTCTCTGGCTGCTCTGTGTGTAGGTGGTGGCAGTAGGAGAACTGTTGGTGAAGAGAGCGGGAGCAGAGAAACCAGTCAGGAGAGAGACTGCTGCAGGTGCCTGGAAATGTGGTGATTTCAGGAAACACTTAGGAGCTGACATTTCTTGCTGATAGATATGATCAGGAGATTGGGGACCAGTGAAGGCTGGAGGATCAAGTTGGTGATGGCACCTTCTGAGGTAGGTGGGGGTCACAGAAGGGACACAGAAGGTAGGGGAACACGGTAAGATGCTAGAGATGGGTTTGGGATGCATTATTTGGGAGAGCTCGGGGAAAGGACTGGGATGCTGATTTGGGGCCCGGGGTGCAAAGAGAACACCGGAGGAAATGCATTCGCCGGTAAGAGTGAGGCGAAATGGGGTCAGGGCCACCTGTAGTAGTTGGGGACAACGAAAGGCTGTCAGCGGCCAGAGAGGTGACCGGAGAGCTGCAGAGCGCGGGCGGGAGTTACTGGGAAGGGTCAGAAGAGGCGGCGAGACAGCCCGGAGCACGCACCATAAGGGAAGAGTCGCTGCTGCTCATCTCGCTCCCGCGGCTCTGAGTCTGGATCTGGTGGTGCCCCTCGGAACTGTATTCTAGACTCAGCACCCTGGGCACGCCCTCGCGGCCGGAAGTCAGAGCGCGCGCGTCCTTGGAAACGGAGCTGCGGGCACGTTGCTAAGGACGTCAGAGAAAGGCGCCCACGTGACAAGGCATTAATAATCAAGCGCCGAAAAGAGGTCGTGCGCGCTGGTGGCGCCGGGTCCGGTCGGCCCGCGGGGGTCTGCACCGCGGTTCTGGACGCCGGCGCCGCAGCCGGAGCGGAACCGCTGCCATGGGCCTCGGAGCCAGCGCCCAGGAGCCCGCGGGCGGCACTGAGGGCTTCCACCTACACGGAGTGAGTCGCTCTGCGGCGCCGATGACTTGCCGGATGGCTGGTCCGCGGGCGGCGGCGGCGGCGGCGGCGAGGTCCCGGCCACTGTGCGGCGAGGTCCCGGCCACTGTGCAGCTGTTCAGGGGGAGGGTGATGCCCCTGCCTGGTGGGAGTCGCCGTTGAGAGGAGGCGCCGCGGCACTCTGGCCCCCAGCCCCTCTGCGGCCTCGCTGGCCGGCGCCTGCTTCAGGTGCCAGCTGGGCAGGAAGCTGGAGCGTTTCCTGGTCGGGTCGGGCCGTCCCGGAATGGCACTTTTCCTGCGTGAAGGTTGGACCAGGTCAGGGCGGCAGGCATTGGTGCACTTAGGAAGCTCTTGCTGTGTGCTGCCCCCAGAATGGGCCCGAGCCAGGGCTGGCGAAGCCGAGGCTCCGCGGCCCCTGCCCTTGGGTCCTGGGGGTCTGAGTCACCTAGAGGTTGCTGCGGACCTCGTTGGCGCGACGACTGTCGGCTGACTGAAGGTTGGAGAGACTTTCTCAGAGTGAGGACTGGGAAAGCGGGGAGCGGGAGAACCTGGAGAATGGCGCAGAGGGCAGCCGAAGAGCTTGCGGCAGGGATTGGTCCAGGTGGAAGTTGCGGGGAGGACCTGAGTGGAGAATGATCGTTCTGTGTAGGTACGGGGACCGAGTGAGCTCTTGCGGGGAAAGTGGAGACAGTGGGCTTCCTATAGCCCGAAAGTAAGAAGAGGGGTCCACCGCCAGCTGGAGATTTGGGGTGGAGATTTGTGCTGTGGAGAGGGAGGGGCTGTCGCGTGGGTGAGGCAGGGAAGAGGGTCTCTGACTTGGGTGCATGATGGGAAGAGATGCCCTTTTCCCTGTGTAAAGTGTAAAGATGTGTAAAGTGGCTGGATGCAGAGATGGGTGTAGGTAAGTGAGCTTGTCAGGTTGGTGCCTGGCTGTGAGTAGGCTGTTTTGTGATGGAAGACTGTGTCATCTACTGCCAACAGGAGGGCTAGAGAAGAGGGTCTTCCTAAGAGGGAGACCAGGATGGCCCCTAGGACTGGAGTTGATAGTATTTGTGCTTGGTTAGGAACCTTTCCTATCAGGCCTCGTGGTGAGATCATCACTAGCCAGAAAAGGTGGACAGTGGGTGCCTGCAACCAGAAGGAACCGAGGATATTAGCTAAAGGGGGAGGGTAGGGCCATGGTAAGCCGGGAGGAAGGGGCAGTTAGAGCGGGACAGAGTGGAGAAGTGGGGATCGGAGAGCATCATTCATAAAAACAGGTATATTCGAGCACAGACTTGGACAGGCGGAGTTCTAGGCTTGGGCCATAAACCAATGACCAGAACAGACAGCGGCCTGTTCCTGTGGAGTTTACATCTGGGTGCCAGGAGAGAGAGAAGAGACAGAGCTGCGTGGTAGGTGGTGATCCTCCCTAGGCAGACCATTAAAGCAGGGGAGGAGGATAAAGAATGAGTGGGTACTGTATTAGATAACAGGTGGGGAGAAGATTCTGACCAAGTAACATCTGAAGAGACACCTGGGAAGGAGGGAAGCAAGTCTGGATGACACAGCAGTAAGGGGGAAGGGCCTGCTGGGATCTAAGAAGCAAGCAGGTGAGGCCTGTGCGCTGTATAGGGTGGTGGTGGAAGGAAAGGGGTAGAGCGAGGTTGACCTGGGCGGGAACTTACCTGTTATCCTGAGGCTTTGGGGTCTTATTCTGAGATAGCGCGACATTGGGAGGTCTTAATTGGAGGTGAAACATGGCCTGCTTCCATTTTCAGAAAATGAAGAACAAGTTTTTAAGTGTCACCTTAAGGATATTATTCCTGCCGTGTGCTGGGCATCTGGGGGAACCTTGGGCCCACAGCGACTTGGGGCAATGGAGGCTGCCACTGGAAGTGGGGCCATAGTGAGAAGTATGCTCAGTCTTGGACCTTCTGGGGTCAGATAACTGAGTAACTGAGCACTTTTCCTCCTCTGTACATTGGGCTCAGTAAAAGGGTTAAATGATCGGGAAAGCAGGTGGTGCAGTTGCCTGCACCAGACCCCTAGCTGTCAGCTGCTGTCACTGTCAGTCATGTTAGGTTCCCGCACGGGGCACAGGAGGTGGCGGAGGCTCTATTATGAAAGCAGCACTTCGTTCGGACTTCAAGGTTGGCTGTGATGAGATTCCCCCAAGGGAGAGCTGGACAAAGGGCCTTGTTTGTTGCTAGAGTTGGGGTGCAATGGGCTGCCCCTAGATTATTCCACTGTGGAGTAGTAGAGGGCCATGACCAGGCCTAGGGTGAGGTGTGTGGAGTACAGACTGAGAAGGCCCCAGGAGAGGAGGGTAGATGGAGAGAGGGTGGGCCTGGGGAACCCTCCCTCTGGGTGGGTTGATGGAGAGCAGTTGACACAACGTTGGGCGGGGGCCGGGGTAAGACAGCCTGGTGCCACTGGCCTCTGGAGCAGGGGCCTGACCTCAGGAGGCCCCTGGAGATCTGTCCCAGCTTTTCCCTGAGGGGCTCAGGGCTCCCCCTAGCAGCACCCTCTGGACCAGGCCAGCTGGGACTGGAGTTGGTTTCTGGCCCGCTCACACCGCAAGTCATGGCAGTTTCTGGAGGTGGCAAGAAGCAACTGGTGATGCTGCCAGAAGAGTGTCCTCATTACAGGGACGAATGGGCCTTGGCCCAAAGACTCAGCAGTGAGCTTTACTGGAGGGCCAGGTGGTGCAGGGCCTTCCCCTTGCAGAGTCATCCAGAACCTGCTGAACCTTGGAAGCCCTGTGCCCTTGGGGCTGGTGCCTGGCTGATGCCTGACCAGCCTGGCGTCAGTGCTCACAGCCAAAAGCCCAAGGGTGGGGAGCCCTGCCTTGAGAATCAGAGCTGGGGATAAAGGCCACATTGGTTCTGAGACTATAAACAGGGCCTTTCCTTAGAAGTTCTACCATGGCTGCAAGGCCTGACAGCTATGCTTCTGGAAACAACTGTGAGTTTGGATTCTAGGCAGAGAGTACCCCGGTGCTGGGCATGGCTGGCGTGGGAGTGGACTCTGGATTGTGGGTGGGATCTGCCCGACTGACAGGCTCATCCCTATGCTGTGGTCTGTCTCTTCAGCACATCCCCCATCCACGGGACTGAGTGGGCTGGGGCCCGACCCCTGCTGTCTTCCCCATTCCTTTTGGGGCACAGCCTTGGTTCCATCTGTCTGGAGCCTTCCTGCTTCCACCGCAGTGGGGCCTCCCCATCAGTGGCAGACTTTCGGTAACCTTTGACTTCCCAGCGGCCAGCCTGGCCCTCTGGGGGAACATCTCCTCAGGCCCGCCTACCCTATCTCCAGGCGGCCTTCTGTTCGCCCTGGGAGGGGAGGCTGCTCTGCAAGCGCAGTCTGTGGATAGTGATCAGGAAAGAGGCATTTTCCTCGGTAGCAAAGCCTGCGCCCAGAAGGCCTGAGCACGGGCGGGCCTGGTGAAGCCTGTGTGCTGCTGGACCTGGAGAGGCTGGAGGCCGGTGCAGGGGTCCACCTGGGACTTGGGGGGTGGGGTGGTGTTGAAACTGCGTGGGGCTTGTGGGAGAGTTGGCACACTAACGGGGCCTCTGCTGGGGGGCAGGTGCAGGAGAACTCCCCAGCTCAGCAGGCTGGCCTGGAGCCCTACTTTGACTTCATCATCACCATCGGGCACTCGAGACTGGTGAGACGCCCCCTTGCCTCTGCCTTGCTCTGGGTGCCGCCTGCCCTACTGAGGTCCCCGGCCCTGTTCCCGTCTCTCCTTTCTCCTGGAGGGAGGCCCAGCCCATCACCCTCCTTCCAGTGCCATACTCAGCCCCAAGGGGCCCTGCCCAGCTTAGCTCCCGAGCTCTCTGGGGTGAACTGGGCGTAAATGCACTCAGGGCCACAAGGCCTAAAGGAACCGCCTCTCAGAGCATGAGAGATTAGGACTCTGGCCAATGGCAGCACTGCTGGGCTCTCGACCCAGCTGGCTCTTTGCATCCCGGGGTATTTTCAGGCCAGCCGAGGGAAGAGGGTTTAGCTGCTCTGTGGGTAGTGTGAGCTCAGGTGGCTGCAGGCCCAGGCCCAACCACTGACTAGCCTGTCTACTGGGGTAGCTGACCCTGCCCTGTATCTGGCCAGATTTGTCCAAGGGCCCTAGCCCGGGAGTGAGGGGGGTGGAGGAGTCAGCCTTGCATTCTCGCAGAACAAGGAGAATGACACGCTGAGGGCGCTGCTGAAGGCCAACGTGGAGAAGCCTGTCAAGCTGGAGGTGTTTAACATGAAGACCATGAGAGTGCGCGAGGTGGAGGTGGTGCCCAGCAACATGTGGGGCGGCCAGGGCCTGCTGGGTGCCAGCGTACGCTTCTGCAGCTTCCGCAGGGCCAACGAGCACGTGTGGCATGTGCTGGTGAGTCGGGGGGCAAATGTGGGCATGTGGGCTTATCACATAGGTGGGGGGCGGCCGGGCAGCAGTAAGTGGGGTATATGGGGGGCAGCTGGGAGAGCCGCGATCCCCTGGGTTTATTCTCACATGCCCGAGGGCAGGGTCTGCCCCCTCCCGTGTCCCAGAAAGGTAGTCAGCGGACGGTGCCCTGCTCTGGTTTGCCCTGTGACCCGGGGCACTTCTGCACCGTCTAGACCTTGGTTTCTAGTTTCTGGTGCTAGGCCCTGGGTAGCTAGGATGTGGCTGTGATCATTGGTCTGCAGTTTTTCCTGCCATATGCAGTGGCGTGGGGCAGGTGCCCTGAAAGTACCTTCGGGTACCAGGCAGGCCCATGGATCTGAACCTTAACAAAGCGTGGTCTGTTCACTGTCACATGTCCACACGTGCCGTGTCCCTTCACTGTTGTGCCGGCTTCCTCGGGAGGTGCGGGCCACGCTGGAACAGAGTTGCTGTGGTCTATAGCCTCCTCTGTTCGCTGCCTTCAAGCAGGAGACTGCTTATTTTTTTTTTTTTTTTTAAAGATTTATTTATTTGTGCATACAGAACTGGGGTACAGGCCAGAGGCTCAGGGGCGGTGATAGGCTTCACCAGAGACAGAGTGGGGAGCAGAACAGGCAGATCGACGAAGTACACTGCTGAGGGAAGCAGCGGGCGGTCAGGAGAGGTCTGGCTCGCCATGTGGTCTCCTCCGGGGCAGGCGGCAGGCGGGAATCGAACTCATGCGGAAGTGGCTTCAGATTCTCAGTGCTGTGCTTTAACCTGCTGCGCCACCAGGGAGGGCCCGAGACTGCTTACTTTTTAGCCACCTCAGTTTATACCGGAGGGAAATGGGTTTGACGCAAAGCCCTTTACATTTCCCTGAGTCTGAGAAAGTGATCTTGTAGCTGGTGCCACTCACTGTCCTCACCTCCCGCCCTTCCCCAGGGGTCTCCAGCCACATGCCTGAGTAGTAACGGCTATGCCATTGACCAGGCCAAGGCCTGGTTTTCATTCTTTACATAATATTTCAAAACTCTTTTCAGATTTTTATGCATAAGTATGACATAGCCGACTTTTAATTTAAGGGGAACTGAGGCTGAGTGGTTAAGAATTTTATTCTCAGTCACATTCCAGCAGTTGGTGGGGCCAGGAACGAACCCAGGTCAGATTTCAGAGCTCTAGGGTGGGCGTTGTGCCATCATACTGCCCTCTGCAGGCAACTCTGTGGAACTGCAGAAGGTGGGAGACTCCTGACTCCAGAAGGTGGGGAGGCTGCTCCCGCCCCCACCCATCCCTGCTCCGCATCCCCTAGAGTGAGATCTCATTTTTCCTTTCCCCAGGATGTGGAGCCCTCTTCACCTGCCTCCCTTGCTGGCCTGTGCCCCTACACAGACTATGTGGTTGGCTCAGACCAGATCCTGCAGGAGGTGAGGAACCCGTGACTTGCCTGGTGGGGCGTGGAGAGATGGGTACTGCCCATGGGAGGTGTCTCATTTTGTGGAGACTTCCAATCCCAGTGTTGGGAGCAGGACTCAGTCGCTCTGTGTTTGTCATAGTCTGAAGACTTCTTTACACTCATTGAGTCCCACGAGGGGAGGCCCTTGAAGCTGATGGTTTATAACTCTGAGTCCGACTCCTGCCGGGAGGTGACTGTCACTCCCAACGCGGCCTGGGGTGGAGAGGGCAGGTACTTTCGGGGCTTGGAGGGCTGCAGGGTGGACCTGGGTGGGGAGTCCGGCGGTGAGGGTGGAGGGCTGGGCCCTGGTCCTAAGGCTTCCCATTGGCTCAGGAAGTACCCATTCAGCCCCTCTATGCTTATTATGGGTGGGGGGGAGTAGAGGGGCAGAAAGGGGGCAGTGACAGGAAGGGCTGTGGGAAGCCCCTGGATTGAATATTTCTGGCCTTTGGCAGTCTGGGGTGTGGTATCGGCTACGGGTATTTGCACCGGATCCCAACACAGCCTCCCAGCTACCACCGGAAGCCACCTGGAGGCCCGCCACCTGGGGCCCCACCACCGGTTGCCCTGCCACCCAGTAGCCCGCCACCCCCATCGATCCTCCAGGACTTTCCTGATCATCCTGGCACTGAGACAGACTCCAGGCCGGGTGACTACACGGAGGTATGTGGGGACCCCTACCAGCCAGGGGCAGAAGGGAGCTTCTCGTGGGCAGGGCCTGCCAGCTGCGAGAGGACTGGGGGAGGGGAGGCAGCGCTCACTGTGGGTCTTTGGGGGCCCTGTGACTTCTGGGAGCCAGTGGGAGCAGAGGAGCCCTTTCTGAGAAAGTGAAACTGGCCCTCCTGCCACGTGGGTTTGTAGGTGAGGGTAATGGCCAGGCACGAGCTGTCCTTTTCATTAAGTGGGAAGCAGGCTCAGAGGTGGGCAGAACCTTATTTCAAGGTGTCAGTGATTGGTAGTAGAGTTGGGCTAGGGGCTGGTTGTCAAGCTCCCGATCGGTCTGTCTGTGGATCAGCTGGCCAAGTCTCCAGGGGGGTGCCAGCCCTGCCTTCCTGGCCATAAAGCGGGCCCCCCAAATGCCTTTGGGCACTGATCCGGTGCCTGGGGGCCCCATGGGACACATGAGGTGTGTCACTGAAGGGGCCCGATGGGTGGGCACCTGGAGCACCTCAGCAGTGAGATGAGTGCTGCCTTCGTGTCGGCTCTGCAGGGAGGCACCAGGCCCTTCTGGCCTGACTCACTTTCCCCGTGGGGGAAGGGGCAGGCCACCAAAGCTGCTCCTTCGGACAGAGCGGTGCTCACATGGCAAGGGTCGGCTGCACTGTCCTGACGGCCCATCCCTCTTCCTTCTTCCCTGGCTCCCCAAGGCCCTGTTGCAGGCCCCTGGCTCCTCCATGACAGAACGGCTTCCGGGGACTGGGAGTCCTAGCCATGGTGGTGATCCAGGCCGTGACCTCGGGGGACTGCCATGTTCCATGGAGACACCTCTTCAGCCTCCCCCCCCAGTGCAGCGAGTCATGGACCCAGGTAGAAAGCCCTGGAGAGCGGTGAGGGACCTGCAACCCTGGGCGCTGAAGTGGTCCCCAACCCCCCTTATCTGAGTGGCAGCAGAGGATTCAGTCATCTGGATGTTGAGTGGAGGGGGGAGGGGCTCTGCAGTCCAAAGGAGAGAGGTGACCTGCCCACATGCAAACTGGGGCCAGGGCAGGGTCTAGACCCTCTGCCACTGTGTTCTTCACAGTGGGGTACCCACTTCTTGGGGTACCCAACTTCAGGCCCCCTCACTGGCAGTGGGGGAAGATTTTGGGGTTGGGTAGGAGCTTTACCATGGGCTCAGGGGCTTGGTTTCATTTCTGGGCCACATGCCCCAGGTACAAGGTGGGGGGACCCCAGGGCACTGGCCTTCCAGCAGTTGAGGTTCTGTGCTGGCAAACAACTGTACCCCATCCTCCAGGCTTCCTGGATGTGTCAGGCATCTCCCTCTCGGACAACAGCAACGCCAATGTCTGGCCCGGCCTGCCCTCTTCCACAGAGCTGGCCTCCACAGCTGTCTCGGCCTCGGGGCTAGAGGATGTCTGCTCCAGCAGCAGTTCTCATGAGCGAGGTGGTGAGTGGCCAACCCTTCTAAAGCCTTCTGGGAAGGTCCCTGGGTTGTTGCGAAGGCTACCTTGAGTTCCTCGGCTGCCTTACAGGCTAGCCTTCAGGTTGCCATTTGAAGGCATTTGTTAGATCTATCCCTTGTGAACGCCTGGGGTGGGAATTGGGTGGGTGAGTGGGGTTTCTGTCCAGGCCACAGGTTCCGTAGGCCTCCTCAGCCCCACTCTCTGTATTGCAGGTGAGGCCACGTGGTCTGGGTCCGAGTTTGAGGTCTCTTTCCTGGACAGCCCAGGTGTCCAGGCCCAACCTGACCACCTGCCTCAGTTGACTCTTCCTGACAGCCTCACCTCTACAGCTTCACCAGAAGATGGGCTGTCTGCGGAGCTGCTTGAAGCTCAGGCTGAGGAGCCAGCAAACACAGAGGGCCCAGATGTTGAGGCAGAGGCTGAGGGGGCAGCAAGTCAGGCCCAGCTTTCTACTCTGGAATAGTACCCTGGGCTGTGACAAGGCCCCTGATGGGATTTATAAGGCCCACGTGGTGGGAAGGCAGCTAGGACACCACACTACACAGCCTGGTGTGTTCAGCTTCGTAGGCCCTGCTCAGAGAGACGCGTTGGGTCGGGGGCTGCTGTGTCCACTCTAATGAGAGATGACGCCCTCCAACAATTATTCTGCCTAATGGTCCTGGCTTTGGGGATCGAGCAATTGTTTGAGAATCTCATGTGCTTTTGGGGTAGTACTGGGCTGGGAGCAGTACCCCAGATTAAATAAGTTTTGCAGGAGATGGGGTAGAAGTGAAAGATTCTTTGCTGTTTGGGTGGGATATGTAGCCTCAGTGGATAATAAGAGGAGGCCACGGTTCTGGGGAAGGGCGTCAGGTGGCTCTGTACCCTCACTGCCAGCCAGTGCTTCTGCACCTGCCCTGATTACCATGGCAACAAGGTCCAGCCACAACCAGATGTGAACATGGACGAGGGAGGAAGGGGTTGGCGCAGATATGTTTGCTAAATCCCAGACTCTCGGCACAGCTCACAGTTTAATCTCCATCTGTACTGGAAGGCACCCCTAAGTCCCAGTGACGTCATCATGGGTCCTCATCCCAGTGTGTCACTGTGCAGGTGCTCAGGCTACCCACATGCCAGTGACAGGTGGCCAGAGGCAGTGCACCTGCCCACCTCTCCGGGGAGAGAGGGCTTGGAAACTCTAAGCTCTTCGGCAGCGAATCACCTGTGCTTGGCCCATGATGCTTCCTCCTCCCTCAGGTTTACCGCCCACAGGCCTGGTAGTCCCCGTGGCCTACCTGGCAACTCTCAAACTTACACAACCATCTCTTACCATGTGCAAGGCAGCCAGCCAGCCTCAGTGGCAAATAAAAGTTGCAAGTTAAAGTTCACTATCTTAAGCTGATACCAAACCACTCCACACGACACACCGTTTCCAGCCCAGGAGGGAATGAGGGGCTTGAACAAAAGTAGGTAAAGGCCCTTTTGCAGGAAGAAGGGGCTCCATCCAAAGCAATCCCTCATACCTGGTGTTCTATTCTGCCTTGGCCAGGGCCCTCATCTTCCCCCTACTCCTTGATGACTACCATGAAAGACTACCATGAACTGCCTTCAGCCTTGTCTTCCAGTTTCTAGTCATTGAAAATTCCCACCTTTACCTCTTGATTTGTAATGTCTGCATTTAACAGGCAACTCATAGAGCCCATAGAATAAGGACAACCTGCTTTTGGAGTGGGGGAGTGGGCGGGCCCAAATAAGCTACCACTTCAAGTTTCTGGGATTTGACACTACATTTAAAACAAGTCCTTGTCAAGCCTACCCAGCAGCTGTGAGCCCACAGAACAGGGAGGCACTGTGCCCAGGGTCTGGCTGGAGCCTGACTGCTGGACTGTGTGGGAGCCCCGTGTCTGCAAGAACCCAGGACACAGAACAGAATCGCCGCAGCAGTGTGCTATGGCCAGCTCCCAGGACTGGTCGCCTGCTTGAAAGCCGCTCTTGCCCAGGGCTCCTAGTTCTTGCCTTCCTCACTTTCAGGGCTAAAGTGGACATCAATGCTAACTATTTCCAGGGTAAGTGAAACCAGAAGTTTCAATCTCTGTAATCTGCCATGAAGGAAAACGACAAGTGAAAAATAAATGTGTATTACACTTTGAAATATTTTAACTAAAGCCTTTATTCTATACAACTGTGAAATACAGATTTTTACCCTTTTGGCATTGCAGACTTTTCTGAAAACTATTACTGGTTTGACTGGAAGGAAAAAGGTACAACCATGCTGGGGCTGGGGTCAAAGACTTACGACAGGAGGGCGCATGGCTGCCTGAGGCTCAGCACACAGGACAGAGCAGCCTGGCAGAGCCCAGCCCCGCAGCCCAAGGGCCCCTGGTGCAAACAACTGAGGGCTGGTAAATGAGCTCTTCTGTGTTTTTGCCATTAATTCACAACTATTGCTAAAAAATGTGCACCAAAAGCACATTGTCGTATCCAACAGATAGAAAGGATTTTTTTTTTTTAAAAAAGAAGCCACTTTCTGCGCGAGGGATAAAGACTCATTAGAAATGTGGCATGTCTTTGCTCACATCTTCGAAGTGCCAGAGGCAATGACCGGTCCACTTCCCAAAGGCAGCTGACCAGCAGTGAGGGAGCCCCATGTCTACAGTTGTGCAGACTGAGTATCTCAGACAGCAAGGTCTGGACCCAGGCCCATCAGCTGCTTCCAGCTGAACCTGTGAAGATGTAGGAAGAAAATGCCACCCTGCCTCCTCCCCAGTCCCTGCTGCCGTGGGGACAGGCCACACACAAGCTGGGGAGGCAACTGGACTGGAAAAAATTGCCCGCTGAAGGCACTTGTGCTTCTGGCTTCATGCATGAGGCTTGTTTTATGTAGTTTTATGGGGGTGGACACTGATATATTCTGAATACAAATGACCTTGGGGAGAATCCAAAGTTTTTTTTCTTCCACCAAAAGTTGAAGTGTTTATCCCCAATAAGTTATATTCTGTACAAGATCCAAATGTTTCTATGAAAGCTTTAGACTGCTAGAAATCTGGATATAGGCACACTAGCAACAGAAACCTGCATATAAAATGGAAAAACAAATGTGCACTTCCAGGATATGAATATCAAATCAACTCACCATGACATCCTTTTATTCTGACACCAGAAATTTTAAGTAGCTTTTAAATGAAACTAGAAGTCACGGTACTGAGTGTGGATGGTGCCATGCTTCTCACCAGAGTAAGACCCTACGGTGGCATCCGGCACTGCCTGTACTAAAACTGGACACAGTGGAGGAAGGAGTGGACAGACGCACGTCCCTGCACGGCGCAGGCCAGGGCACTGGTGTGCAGCATCACTGGATACGGGCTGGCACCCCTGGCCTGGCAGGCCAAGTGCTATGATCCAGCACCTGGAATTTCAACAGATCTCTCTACAAGAACACATCTGAGATGCAATATTAAAAACAGGCCCAGTGACAATCGTTTATTGTGAAATGGGCTGGCTCTTGAATTGTGCAACGGCAAATTCCTATTAAAAAGAACTGTCTTAAATGGTTTAATGTTTTTGTTTTTAATGACAAACTTGGAAAAAGCCTTCATAGGTACTGCACGAATGGAATGTCATCTTTTAGAAAAGCTACAGAGTATGTAGGTTTAAGGTTGAAACACAGTGACAGATGGGCCCTACCGATGTGCCTCTAACCGCTAACAAAGATAAGATCCTTTGAAACAAAGGGAGGAAGCGAAGTCTGTGCTGGCCTGTGGTCAGTTCTCTGTACATCTCCCAAGACAGTCTGCTCGGGGGCTCTTCTGCTCTTGCACCCTGCCTCCCAAGGGACAGCTTAATCTACACATGGAGACTGGTTTCTATATTACATCTCAATTAGTCACTTCAATTGAAAGAGAATCTCGGTCCATACCAAATCGGCCGTTAGAAGTCTTGCTCCCGTTGGGGCTCAGTGGGCTTCCTAGGACTACTCTTGGGGCCATAGAGGAAGGTCAGTAAATGAATACCCAGGAGCGTTCGCCCACCCTTCACGTGGACTTCTGACGGTAATGGAGGGTGAGGTCACCACCACTCTTCCATATGAAGTGTTTCACTGTTCGGAGGTCCATATTTGGATCCAAAACCTGAATAGCAAAAAATAACAATGAATGTCAAGTCGCTAATATCTAAGACCTTTATTGTTAACTCAGGGACTCTCATCAGGGGATCCAGCTTGTTTTCTCCTCGCCCATGCCTGGTGGCCTGCTCTTGCTGACGCCACGTCCATGCATGCAGGCATGACCCGGGCACAGTGAGAAGTGCAGAAACACCATCTTCAGCCATTCCTCTGAAGAAACGCCTTGAGTGCATCTTGACTTAAAACAGCTCCACCACTTCTCCACCCACCTCCATTTCCACTCTTTAACACGGCAGATGCTGCTCTGCAAATCAAGACGATCAAGTGTCTTTTTCTTGTCAGAACAAAAAGCCACCAACAAGCGCACCCACATTTGTCTGTGTGTGCGTTTAAATCTGTGTCCCTTTCCCAAAAACCTCCCCAGGGTAAACAGAAGATTTAGGGTTGTTTGAAGAACCCCCCCAGAATGGTCTTACAAATAGATGTGAGAGACGCAGTGCTCCTCAGCGTTTACAAGCAGAGTCCCCCAGAGGCAAAAGACTTGGAAGCCACCATCACACCGCACTATGTAACTCTTTGGGGACCAGCACTGGGAGAGTATGGGGCTGTGGTCCTCAAGTCCATTTACCTGGTCCTGGCACAAAAGTTCAATTTTCTCCTCAGCCAACACAGCAATATCCTCTTCTTTTTCCTGTTCTCCTGGTTTTTCATTATTAGAAGAGCTAGTGGTTTGAGATTCATTATCCAAGTTGATGATTTTTTCATAAACATGTTCCATTACTTTCCGAACTTGGAGCATGTCACTAGCAGAGAGTCTATCTCTATAAAACGCAAGGGCAGATTTGACATCAGGGAACTCAAGTCACTGCATATTAACTCGTCTATATTCTTTGGTGTTAACGATAAAGATAAAACACACCACAGAGACAAAGCAATGAATGGTTTTGGTCATGGCCTTACTCCATTTTTAGAATTACCAACATTTTCACAGTGTCTTTCTAAGAAACAGATTATATTCAACTAAGCAGGCTTTAAATACACATTCTTAAAATTTACATATACATAAAGAACAGCCCCCTGGGTGTAACTCCCTTAAGGATTCTCCCAGAGTATAGGCAAACTAAATGTTCCCCAAGAGGTGGCCTCCAAAGCTTACCAGGCTCAAATACGCTGTACACATTTCTCCCTGGGCTTCCCTCCCTACAGCCACACCTTCAATGGTGAACAGATGATGCCCCAGTCAAGACCTCGAGTCTCCACCTAACTCCAAACCCATGAACCCAGCAGCTGGGTATGTCTAGCTGAGTGTCCCATAGGTACCGCAAGCTCCGTATTATCTAAAACTAGACTCATCCAATTTCCTCACCCCCAAGCCTATTTCATTTGCACTTCTGATGTCAGTTAATGGTCATAACCATATGGTCAGACCAAGTAGCTTAGGCTCAAACTCTGAAAGACATCTTGATTGGACTATGGGAGTTCATTTTCCTATATTCTTTTCTGTATAAATTTGAAAATTTCTGTAACAAAGGTTTTAAAAAGTCTTGCTGTTTTCATTTGCTAGGATAGATAGGCTGTTCGCAGTTCCGCATTCTATATCTGAACTACTATAGTTCTCTTGATTCTTCCTGCCTTGAGCCTTCAACCTTCCTAGGCCTCAGCCTAAATGGCTCAAAATCATGCATGCTCTAATACTTGGCATTCAAATCCAGCATCAATGAAACCTCTAAAATCCTTTCTGACATTTCCTTCTAGTATTTTTCCACTTCCATCCTATGCTGCAGCCACCCTGGTTCTTACTAATTTTCACTGTCTCCTACATTCTCCCACTTCTGCATTCTTGCTCAACTATTTCCTGAACCTAGAATACCTCACCTTTGGAAGTTTTTTCTATCCTCACATGCCAGCTCAAATATCATGTCCTTCAAGAAGATTTCTGGAAAGCTACAACTAAAAATTCACTTCTTCTTCCTACACGCATCATTTCTAAGTATCCAAACTACGTTGTTCTACACTACGAACTAAAGCAAAAGGCAAAAAAACCCATGTCTTATTTATATTCGAACACCTGCAACCTACCACAGTAGGTACTTGGTAAAGGTATAAACTTGTAAAATGTTTATAAATGTATAAAATGCTGTAAGTGTATAAAATGTTCCTTTGTTGTAAAAACAAAGGAAGAGTTCTCTCTGGTAATTAGATCAAGGTATCATATGACACTGTATTTACTTACTTTTTTAGGGTCTTTGCTCCCGAAGACGCATGAGGTTGGAGGTAGAATGGAATTTTGTTGAATTTGGGCATATTTTTCTGAAATAGTAAAAGTAAAAAAAGGTATAATAGTTTCTGTTGGCTGGCAAACTAAAATGATATCAACAGAAAAACATGACTTATAAGTAATCTTTATAATTAAAAATGACTCATGAAATATATAGTAACCTATTAAATTATCGGTCAGTTTTAGAGAAAACATCAGAAAAGTATATTTAATTTTGAAATAAAAGATATGTAAAGACAAATTATATGTAGTATCAGTGGCAATATGAAATTATAGCATGGCTCTCCTCAAATAACAATACAAAGTATTAAAAGGAAAAAAACATATTTTAATTATTAAGCCATACAAACCAAAATTTCAGTTCTACATTAAACTTATTAGGGCTGAGAGAAACCCACAACTTTCACCTTTGAGCAAAACCTTATACTCTACGCTGGGTGGCCCAACATCCAACTGAAAAGGCCAATCAGGTCCTCTCACTTTCTTTCCCTCCGACGTCAGAGTGAGGTCTGAGGTTTTAAGCAAGAGTAGAAACTTTAGCCAACCACCTAGAGGTCTACCAGGAAGTAACCCACATACTTAGATGACATTAACTGGTCATCTTTTCTCTAGGTATTAATTCACTCCGAGCCTCCATGTCCTATCCTGTCTGGATGTTTCCTCTCAGGAATAGGCCTAAAGTCAGCACTGCATCCCAGGTGAGTTTCACACTCCAAAGAAGAAGTGATTTATAGAGAGCTCGGATTTAGAGAAGACCACGTATATCCAGTAGGTGCCACACTGGCTTTTAGTTCTTGGAGGTGTATCTGGGACAGAAAACGCATTTTCTAAAAGTCCTAGAGATTAAATCTCTTTTCATATGGCTTTAGGAATACACAAAATAGGCCAAAAGAATATGACAGCCTAGAAACAGACCCATGTGAATATAGAAATTTAGTACGTGGTAAGGATAGCATTTCAAGTTAGTAGGAAAGGATAGATTATTAAATTGTGCTGGCACAAGGGCTATCATTTTGGAAAAGTTAGCATCCTACTTCATGTCAAACAGAATAAATTCTAATAGATTAAAAATGTAGACATAAAAACATCATAAACATGCTGAAAGAGAGTACTTTTACTTCTTTTACTTCTGGAATGGAAAATACTTAGGCAAGACATGAACTCATAACTATAAAGGATCAATCTGATTAAAAAGCATCACATACAAAGTAACAATTCAATTAAGAGACATAGATAATAGTCAAAGGGTTAATATTCAACATGAAGAATTCCTACACATCAATAAGACAAGATAAATAATTCAGTAGAAAAATGAATGAATACAAACAGGCAGTTCACAGAAGAAACACAAACGGCCAATATGAAAAGATGTTTAACCTCACTAATATTAAAAAAGAAAACCCACATTAAAACAATGAGAAAATATTTGCCTATCTTTTTAGCAAGTTTAAAAATATCCAGCGTTGGTGAGGGTGTGGGGAAATGGGCACTCATACACTGCTGGTGAGAGTGTAAACTGGTACAGCCTCTGTGGAGGACAATTTGGCAATATCTATCAAAATTTAAAATGTGCATACCCTTTGATCCAGCAATTCCACTTCTAGGAATTTATCCTAAAAAGTATACAAAGATATATGTACAAGGATGTTCACTGAAGCATTGTTTGTAATAGAAAACATTGGAAACAACCTAAATGTCCACTAATAGGGGACTTGTTAAATAAATCATGGCAATTTACATAACGGAATACTATGCAGCCATTAAAAAGAATGATCCATATGTATGACATGAAAGGATGTCCAAGAAATACTTTTTAAGCAAAAAAAAAAAAAAAAAAGACAAAAACACAACCAAGTTGCAGAACAGTATTGTAATAGATTTTGTGCAAATTAAATGAATTACAGACACAAATATATGTTTATATACATATACACACACAAATAATATATGCTTGTGTATGCACAAAAAACAGTACTGAAGAACATGAATTAAACCATTAGTTACTTTTTCTGGGGAGAAGGAAAGGAAGTGAATGGAAAAGGAGTGATTGGGGAAGGGATGGGAATTTTACTTTATTTTTATTTCCTTTAATAAGCATATATTATTCTTACACTTAAAAAACAATAAAATATAAAGAAATATAAAACAATCATCAATACTTCTGCAACTTTGGAACTGAAGGGAAACAGAAAGATGACTCCATTTGGCAGTCTAGTTTTTATTTAAGATTAAGATTATACAAACTAAAGCAGTTCTTAATGATTTAGAAAAAATGAGAGAGTAAAGTGGGAGTGAGGGATACTTACATCCACAGTGATGTCAATTACCCATTGTGGCACCGTCTCATTAAGAAGCATTGACTCAGTCTCACCTCCAGAATCTCTGCAGAGCAGCCTAAAGGCAACCAATCAGGTAGTAAGTGACACAACAAGCAGAAGAGATAAAATCATTGTCAACAACATTAGAGGGCCTTTAGGATAACCACCACTTGATAGCTGGGGAACTAAAGTGCAGTCGGACAGAAGGACTCACTCAGCTAAGAAGGTCTCAGATTCTGAGACCCGACACACACTTCAGCCTCTGAGTCCTGGGGGATAACAAGAAACCTGGGTGTAGATAAAGAATTCAAGAAAGGTCACCTATAAGTGTTACAGTACATGACACAGGTTTCTGCATGTAACAGGGATTAGGATGTTTTCAGTAGTCATATGCTCAGGGAACTACAAAAAAGGAAAAGAATTCTGGGTTCAAGGGCAAGACAAGCATTTTCCTTTCTTCTGGCCCTCCAGAAGACTAGTGAGCTCTCTCCTCTGGCTTTACCAAGCCCTGCTGGCAACTTGGAGGTGAAGTCAGGCCAGTATTTATTTCCCTTCAGAACCTCAAAAAGGACTGCCAAGCACATTACATTGGGCCATTATAGGCACCATGGTCCCCAGGAGCTGCCCAAACCATCTTGCGAGGTGCATCTAAAGGAAGTTAGCTACACTGGTGCTGTCTTGTGGGTAGGGACTTCAGTGGTGCCATCTACCCCTGATTCTGGCAATCATGCTGGGTTAAGTGAGAGAAAGTAGTTTCTTACAAAAACCACTTAAGCTTCTGCCTTAAGGCAAAGTATCAACCTCATTCTAACAGAGAGGCTCAGCTGGTAATTAGAATATGATCTAACAGCATTATCAGACATTTTAACTATCTCATGGAGATAGAAAAAGCTTCCAAATCCCTGATACCTCTTTAAGTCAATAGTAAACAATTTAGAACACCTGGTTTGAATCAGTATTTCTTAGCAAATGAGATGCTTTCTTAGGTAAGGCTCCCAGCCCTCCTTATTCATACCTGAAGAGTGTGCGACCTCCAGCTTCACCAAAGATGACTGGGGTATGGGGGGGTACTTGAAAATATCCATTTCCCTTCTGTACTCGGTTCTCCTGCTCCCCATTTACTAGGGAAAAAATGCAGATGGTGTCAGTATCCAGAGTTAATGCTAAAAACAGATTCTAAGTATTTTGTTTCCATACTGTAGGTTTCAAATACTGTATCACTAAAGTAAAAAACCCTATAAGTTAGCCAGTTAGAAATAAAAATTAAAAAAAGAAACCAACTTAAAAATTGGAAACTAAGAAATACAGCAACTTGTGATATTCTTTATGAGAAATTACTACATTTTAAAGGATTAAAAGAGATTAATGTTTGAGATTTGTAAAATAAAGCAAACCTATCTATTGCAGTCACAGGGGTCTAGGACAACCTGTTTATAAATGATAATCTTTTTTTGTGGGACATCAACTAAGATGATGTCAGAAAATAGAAAAAAATTTTAAAAAACTGTTTATGGGAGTTATAACTAATGACAGAAGTATCAATGGAAACTAAAATCCTCAGAGACCATAATCTCATTTTCATTGTTCTTTGCAAACTGCATTTATTCCACTTTCTCTGTAATCTTTTAACCTAAGTGCCAACTTGTTCATAAACTCTTCTCTAATGAAAGTGGAGGCAATTTCAGCTTCTGAGGCCCATGCAGTTTCAAAATGTCCCTCAGTGTCCAATACATCTTCCTGACCTCATAATGCTTTAAGTCAACTCTTTGCTTCATTGGAATTTTAGTGCCTGAAGGATGGGGCCCATGCCCATTTATCTTTACTACTTCCGTCCTGCAAATCACAACAGGCCTCTGAACACTTGAGCTGCTCCTCAAGTATAATCTAAGCAACTCCCCTGGCGATGGTCTAAGTGCAGCAGATTACCAGACAGCTGAAGCATGCAATGTTCTGAGCTCTGCTTCAGGAGGTGGCCAGACCTTGTCCCTTTTTCTTTACTATGGCAGTTGATTTCCGGGACGATGTGGGGGTTTCTTCTAACTTCTTTCTTACTCCCACAATCAGAGCCTGGACTCAAAGGGTGCCGAGCGTACCATTGTTTTTCGATTACTTAATGTTTATCATTTACTTGGGGCCTCTGAGGGCATCCTTTCTTGCTGTCATAGAGATCATAAAGGGAGAACAAGCCCAAAACAGCAGTGTCCATAGCTAGTCACTGTTAAGTAGAAAAGTCCACAGCAGGACCTAGCTTTCTCAACCCTCTGTGTAGAGATCTTTACATTGAGCTTCTCTGGCTCATAGTTCATGGTACACTTCTGATAGAGAATGAAATGGGCCAGGTGAACAACAACAACAAAAAAACACGACGGGTTGGGTTTGTGTCATTTCTTTGACAGGGACATCAGAACTGCCTTTCAGGAAAGTGTATCAGCCTTACAAAAGAAATTTAAACTCCAAAAAATCATTATGGACAAATCAGTCAACTAGAATGAAGTTAACTGTAGGAGGTCCACATTATTGCTGACCACCAAAGTGGGTAGTCTTCAGCACAATCTCCAGAGAATTCAAATTATGTACCTCAGCTAAGCCCTCAGTAGATGGAATGCAAAGATTTATTAGCTAGCATGGGATACATATAAGTTATGAAATTTTAAGTTCTTTTTTCTCTCCTTTCTTTAACCAACCATTCAAAATATATTCTCCTGTCCAGTGAAAGTCAGTGCCACTGCCTGCAGCACATACATCTTCTGAATGTCGTCAATGACATTCATTCTTAACACATACTCATTACATACCCACACTACTGAGTTGGAACTTGAGTTTTGAAACATTCAGATCAGACTCAACACCAGGTAGATCACCAGACCAGACAGTAAAAACACTTCAGGAAAACATGAACTATGAACTTGGCTTTCTGCTGCAGTTCTAGACAGAAATCCCCAAGTCTATGTCCATGGATTATCTGAGAATTATCTTTGGAAGACAGACACGATACTCTTTATTGGCAAATTCAGGTACAGACCACATTTTATAGCTTACACATCTCTGCTGCCTTCTCCCTATGAGTAGTAAACCATGTTGGGGGTGAGGGGGTGGTTTAGTCCATCTAGCTTGAACAAAAGCTCTCTTAGAATCTCAACTGACAGTGGACAATGTTCTTAATTTGGGCTGTAGAAGGGAGGGTAATAAATTGGGCACACAGAAAATATATCAAATTTAGCAAATGTTTAGCATGTTTCTTAAAACAAAAAAAAAAATCTATCTTTAACTTCTGAGTAATTTTTGACCAATCACATAAAAACAGCACAAACCATGGTTCACTTCATTTTCTTCTTCATCCATTGGATTCACATGTGTCCTAGGCCAATATTCCAGAAGTGCCTGAAGTAAAAGTCCTCCCAAGTTTACTGCAAGAGTTAATTAAAATGAAAAGAAATGGAAAAGAGAGCTGTTAGTTTAAAACTAGAAACAGAGAAAGAAATAAAAATGATGTTTCCACATGTTCTAGCATTAAGGTTTTAATCCAATGCCAATGTTTTAAAAGCAAGATTTTGTCAAGTTCATAAAATTTTATCTGAGAATATTTAAAGGAGTTTAAAGCATAGAGCAAACATACTCTATTTGGTTGTTCAGATATAGCCTTTTATGAAAAATGAATAAACAAAGTCACGAATTACATTCTCTAAAGGTTATTTCTAGTAACATAAAGTTACTAGAATTCTATTGTATGTCCATATTCTTATGAAAATACTGTCCAAAGATATAATCAACAGTAGCAGGCTGTATACAGATGAGTACACAGCAAACAGCAGCATGAATCCACCTCTTTCAGAATGTGGGCCAGGAAAGACTCTCAAACTCACATTTTGGATCTGATCCATCAGGGCTGCTGAAGCCCGCATCTTTTGCAGAAACCCAAGCAGCAAAACAGTCACTCTCATCCAAAGTAATAGTCAACATCTGTCAAAAGGAAAAAACTGTTGGTGGCATTTCACTGAATATCATATTCCAAGTCTCTCAATTCTTTTATTGTGACTGAAGTGCTAAGCCACAGTCTCAGAACCATTAGCTGCTTTGAGAGACTCAACAGCAATACCATTTGATTTACTGGGATACCAAAAAGCACCTTCCAAGTTTAATTTTCTCCTTTTTACATTTAAAAACAGAACTCTCAGGTCTCTCTAGTGGCACACAGGGTTAGGTCTCAGCACTATCAAGCTATGGCAGCCATTGCAGCAAGAGTTTGATCCCTGGCCAAGAGTTAACCCATATGGCACGGGAGACCTCTCCTGTCTTGCCCACTGCACCCAGAAATACTTAAGCAGTTTATTTCTGTTCTGCTTCCCACTCTGTCTCTGGTG